GATTTGATTAAAATTTAATATAATTATCTAACCACTATTTCATTGGTTTGTTTTGGGAAATTAGTTAAATAATTATTTGTTTGTTTTTTTTGACTTTTTTTTAAAAAATATGTAAAAGAAATAGAGATTTTTTTTTTTTTGAATAGTCAAAAAAAAAAATTAAGGATATAATGTGACATAAAATAAACTAAAAGTCAAAAGGTAATATTTTACCCGCTCGCCAAAACAAACCATTATTAAGCTCATTTGAAACCAATTTTTAAGTAAGTTTTTTTAATCATGTTTGGAGTTTAAATTGCTTGCTCTCTATTGAGTTTTATCCATTTGCATCCCCAAAATTTTCTTTTGGAATAAATATAAACATAAAAAAAAAAAAAAAAAAAAGGAAACATGGTCCCATAAAAAATATGTATGTAGGGAGAGAGAGAGAACACCACCAACGATATTGCATTTTGGACATTTTTCTATAAAAAATTATGACGAATTATATTAATTGTCCTTGTAGTTTAAGTATTGTTTAATTTTTGACTTTTTCAAAGTAACATATTTCATTCTGAATTTTAAATCTTATTTCAAACAAGGACAATTGAAGATACAATTACTCAATTTCAAAAGTAAAATAGTTAATTTGATAAAATATAAACTAATTTGACAAAAATAACTATCAAAAAAATATTTTTGATTTTTTAAAAATTATTTCTATCCACTAAAGATAAAATTATGTAAAATTGATAAATATTTTAGACATTTATTTATTTATTTATTACTAAATTAATTTTTATTATATGTTTTGATGATGATCATGTAATGGATGATTGTTTTTATTTTTATTAAATTAGTTTATATTTTTTCAAAATTTAAATATAGCGACAACTTTGATATCATTATTAAACCAATCTATTAAATCAAAAAATCTAAAACTAAAAACATTTAATGTATTAAATATATCGATTACACATTAAAAGTCTAACAACTATCTATTAAATGATCATCATCTAAACACATAATAAAAATTAATTTGAAAAAAAAAATAAATTTCTAAAATATTTATCAATTTTACATAATTTTATCTTTAGTAGGTAGAAATAATTTTAAAAATTTTAAAAATATTTTTTTGACATTTATTTTTGTCAAATTAATTTATATTTTATCAAATTGATGGCTTTACCCTTGAAATTAAGCAACAATATCTTTAATTATCCTTATTTGGAATAAGATTCAAAATTTAAAATCCATTGTGTTATAATTAAAAAATCAAATAATAAGAGATGTTTTGAAAAGATAGTTAAAAGTTACTTTTTGACTTTTTTTGTAAGAGAGATAAATGAGTTAAAAATTATGAAGTGACTTTTAACCCACTTCTCAAAATAGATCTAAAGTGATACAAATTCTCAAATTATAGAGATGGTTAGTATAATTCACTAAAAAAAAAATTATACTCCCTATTTATTTGTTGAAAAATGATCCGAACCCCATTTTCTCCCACCCACTCTGACCCCCTCTCTTTCTGATTGGCCAATTTTTCTTTTTTCTTTTTCTTTTTTTTCTTTCTCCTCCAATCACCACCCGCCACATGTGTGTGGGGTTGTGAGGGTGGTGATTGGAGGGAGTCTCAGGCCTTGTTTGGGAACCCTCTTTTTTAGTCAAAAAGTCGAAAAATTATTAAATTAGTCAAAAAACCAACAATCCATACTAAAAAGTCAAATATTGTTTTTTCTTTCTACTTTTTACACATCTTTTTATAAAAAATTAAAAAATTATTCTAAACATACTAACTTTTTTTTAATTTATATTTTAACCAAATAACAAAAAAATTACTAAATTAACCTATTCCCAGACCAGGTCTCAAACACATCCCTTATTTGTTGGTCCAATAATATTCACAACAATGATTCATCCCACTAAAACCATCACCACTAATAGCACTAATGCATTAAAAAAGTAAAAAAAAAAAAAACACAACTTCAAGACCAAAATATCACATCATTAATGACGGGACCCACTGCCACCGGAGCACTAATTAGTAGGAGCAAGCATTTTTCTAATATTCATGTCCCATCAACACGTAAGGTCTTCATCCTCTTTTTGGAATGGGTCATCCTGTATTTCTCACTAAAGCAAGTTGGAAGATGACACTAGTCAACTAAGGTCAAGTTTGGCATCCTCTAAAAAATTTAAAAAGTCAAAAAGTCACTATCTTATTTAAGTCATATCATCTTATTTAAATTACATCACTTCTCTAACACATCACTTCAAACCCAACCCAAATTCAACACATATTTCATAAAAAGTCAAAAAATACACTTATTTAATCTTCCCAAACTTGGCCTAAAATTACCAAACCTAGCACTATTATTATTATTTGTCCCACTCATCAAATTTTTATTTTTTTTTAAATTTTTATAACTGATTATTCTAGTTAATTTATGTGCATCTGAGCTAATTCTTGAATCCTGAAATTAATAATCACATAAATCTCTAATAATTTCTTAAGGTGACTCAAAATTGAGATCTTAAATTTTATTCTCTATCCTTCACCCCTTAACCGATATCTTGGGTTGCCCCTACTCATCATTGCGTTGCACCACTTCTTTCAAATAATTTTCTTATCAATAAGTTTATAACTACATAAATCATATAAAATATATATCAAACAATTTGAGTAAAATTACTTTTTACAATAGTTTTATTATAATCAGTATTATTTATGCGATAGATATTTATTATTTTCTTAATATGAGTAAGGGATTTGTTTATCTCTGATTCCAATTTTGGATTGAAGACTTCAAAGATCATGCAAAGTTATATAAAAACATTCAAGAACTCCTGAAATTAATGATAATTTTAATAAAATAAAAATAATTATAATAAAGTAATTTTTTTTTTTTTGAAAGGTTACTCTGAATTGAATACAAACTAAAAGTAAAGCTTGAAAGATTTAAAACAAATTATATATTTTGTATCGATAGACCTAAGTATTTTTGTTTCTTAGATTAGCAACTCTTCTTCCACCGGCAGAATAGATGGCTTCAACTAACCTGCAATAGAAAGAAAAGGCTCCGGCGGTGGCTCTTCCACCTGGGGGCACTCCGACAATCAAGTCGTCACGAGTTTCTGTGTTGCGTTTGTCCCCTTCAACGTCGAGGTTGATAGATCTCTCATTCCCAGCAGGAGCGTTGTCTCCAGTCTGATCCTTCTGTCCGTCATTGGCCATCTATTCTTCTTTCTTTCCCACAGACGGCGCCAAATTGTGTAGGTGATTTTCTGACCACACTACCCGCTTAGTAACCAGCTGGAGAGCACCAGCAGAATATATGGCACCTGGCTGACCTGCAACAGAAAGAGAAGACTCCGGCGGTGGTTCGTCCACCCGGGGGCACTCCAACGATCAAGTCAGTATATTTCTCAAAGATAATCAAGTGCTAAACTCACAAGCTTGAGTGTCAAAAGTATATCTTAGACCCATGGGGGTGCCTCTCTTTTATAGCCAACATAAACCTAGTCCCAATAGAAACCTAACTTCTATGGACTCAGGATTACTGCTAATCTTGGACTCCCAATAAGATTAGGATAAACTCTCTAAGAGTCTTATCTTAATACAAACTGAAGTCTTCTCTCATTCTAGGACTCTTGTCCCTCATTCAGGTTGAGTTCCCTTTTCATTCTAAGACTCTTGTCCCTTATCCACTTATCTCGGATTTCAATATCTTCAGAGATAATCTCGGCCTTGCTGAGATCACCTCGGCGTCACGACCAGGACACGTGGCACCTCGACTGACACGTCAGCGTTACCTTGCCACGTGTTGGTACTAAGAAAATATATCCCCACAATTCTGTATTGATAGACCTAAGTATTTTTGTTTCTTAGATTAGCAACTCTTCTTCTATTTGAAGGTTTTTTATTTTTTATTTATATATATATATATATATATTAACAATGATTCATCCCACTAAAAATATCACCACTAATAGCACTAATGCATTAAAAAAGTATAAAAAAAAAAAAACACAATTCCAAGACTAAAACATCACATCATTAATGACGGGACCTACTGCCACTTAATTAGTGGGAGCACTCAAGCATTTTTCTATATATATATATATATTGGTTAGGTGTGTATAGTAATGGCCATTTTCAACGCCAGCTCAAATTGAATTGAAACGTATGGGGAGTTATATGGTGATTTTAGAACATGCTGTGGACATATATCCACTCACTGAAATTATTTAAGTTAATTTTTAATTTAAAATTTTATAAAATATGTTTGCAGTTTTTTATAATCTATATATTAAAAACCGATCGTATTTGGTTAAATAAATTTCCACGTAATTTTTTTTTTATGATGCAAATATTTAAGATATTCTCAAGTGTTATGATTAAGGTGCAAAAAACAAAGAAATATTATTTTGTACATATTTATTTACGAGTTTCAAAGAAATTTAAAAAAAAATACAAAATATAGCTTAGATTTTTTTACTCGAAAAGTAAACTATTATATAAAATTGTAACATTAATCAATTTTATTTAATCAAATAAATTAAATAAATTGACTCATAAATACTTTCAAATGAGACCAAAATGTAAAACAAAATACTAGATATATGAACATTTTATTCAGAATGACAAATGCAAATAATTTAGGTCTTATCCCATTCTATGAATTATTATTATATTATTACTTTTTTTTGCAAATTATTGCTCAAAGCTCAATAATAGATGATTTATTTTGAAAAGTAAGTTAAAAGTTAATTTTTTTTTAAAAAGTATACAAAAAAATAGAAAGCCGATATAACTTTAAAAAATAAAAAAAATTGACTTTTAACTAATTTGTCAAAATAGATCGAAACATCATCACTTTTATAAAAAAAAATAAATAAATAAAATTGAATACACGTAATTGGACGAGCACACCGTGAGGCAGGTGATCCCGACTCACCAGATAAATTCCGCAGAGGAATTGTAAATTCCAAAAACAGAATTTTCCCTGTTTACAATTCCCACCATATTCTAGCACTCGTATTTTTCTTTGGTAAAAATTCCAAAGCTTCTCTCTGACGATTGCAATTCCAGATTCCAATCTGTGTTTCCATTTTTCACCCCATCGACACACAAAACCCATAAAATTCAGAGCATCTTTCACAAGAAAAAGAGAAGGGAAAAAAGTTCATTCGAAAAGAAAAGCAAAGAAAGTGAAAGAAAAGGATACGTTCTTGACTCGTTCTTGGATTCTCGATTGATCAAAGTATTTTCTTTTTTAGTTTTTCTTTTTTTTGAAAAAAATGAAGCTTTGATTGAGAAAAGAGATGGGTACTGATGTGGATGTGTTGTGGGTTCTTCACCTCTGCTTTCTTCCTTGTTGGAACTGTAAAAGGTATGTAAAACCTTATTGTTGTTCCGTTTAATAATATTAATAATAATGATTTGAGTTTATTAGCTTCTAGGGTTTGCAATTGTCAATTGGCATGTATGAATGTTTCTAGTGTGGTTTTGGGTGTTGGCTGGTGTGGCTGATGATTGTTATATAGCATCAGGGATGAATGAAATATGGTGATACATTTAATTTCGAAATGGGTTTTGTGAATACTGAATAAAATTTCTATTTTCCAGCTTTAATTTGGAAGTTTGACTACCTAATTCAGTGTTTTGGACTTTAAAAAAAATCTCTTTTTGTGCTAGTTATGTTTCGTTTTTTAATATGCATTTGTTCTTTCTTTTACCAATTTTTTTTGTGTTATATGGGCCTTCACCATGATGCTAGAGAGTTTGGATTGGTTTGGTTTGGTTTAGTTTAGTTGGAAGTTAGAATTTGTGTTATAGCTTCATGTGCCAAAGTTGTAATATATTGAACTAGGATTTTCCTTTACTAGTGGGGCTTGCCATATTTTTTATCATGAAGATTCTGATTTTGTTATTGTTGTTGTTGTTGTGCATTTGGTGGTTAAAGAATTACGAGTGAGGTGAAACAATATGAGGAGGAGTAATAATTTGATCAAAGAGCGGAGGTGCGAGAGAATAAGGCTGAGGTTGGGGAAGATCATGAAGTGCCTTTGCTCAGGAGAACAATTAGGAGTAGATGAAATGGCTCCGGCATCTGAATCCCTGGCAAAGAAAGATTATTCAATCAGTGGGTATTTGTCTCGTGTTGATGAAATTGAACAGAAGCTAGATACTGACAATATCAAAGAAGCTGAATCCTCTCTGCGGGAGGGTGGTTGTTTGAATTACGAGGTTGGTTTCTCTAAGATTCTAATTTTGAATCTTTTTCTTCTATCAAGCATTGATCTACTTTAATTTTTAAAGCAGACTATGTTATATTCTTGATTGGTGTTACCTTGTTTTTTGGTAAGCACGCTGTATTATAACCAAAAAAAAAAAGTAGGATATACAATAAAGCTCAAAACTCGATCAAATGCCTAACCTTTACCTACAACTACCCACAAGCCACAAGTATAGGGTAAGACAAGGTGCTGCCAATTGTATTGGGCTACCTTTGCTAGTGTTACCTTTACCTCTCTTTTATGCATTGTTATGTATTTCTTCTTGTTTTTGCACTAATCCGATACTCATGTTTTTAAAATGTTAATCCTCTCAATTAAAAGCCATAAAACAAGGGTTTGTTGTCATTTTTTTAGACTTAAGGATTCATGATTTTCCAGGAAGCAAGAGCATTGTTAGGAAGATACGAATACCAAAAGGGAAACATAGAAGCTGCTTTACATGTATTTGAAGGTATAGATATTGCTGCAGTGACTCCAACTATGAGACTTGCCCTTGCTAGAAGAGGAAAGCATCACAAGAGAGATTCCCAAAATGATGCTATGTCTATACATGCTGTTAGTTTACTCCTGGAATCAGTCTATCTCAAAGCAAAGTCGTTTCAAGCTCTTGGGAGGTATAAAGGTAATTTCTTATGCTAATGGATAGATTTGATGTCATATTTTGTAGTATGTTATGGTTGCATGTGTTTTTTTTACTTGCTTTCTCCTCTACTCTTTATTATGCTATCGCTGTTTTCCGGTTTTGAATTCCTTCACCCGGTTAAAGACTTAAATATCATTTCCTGGAAGGTGTCCTTTGGAGTAACCTTCTTTTTAGATATTATGGCCTCGTTTGGGAACAGGCTATTTTAGTAACTTTTTGGCTAAAATATGAGGCTAGTTTAGTAACGTTTGGGATGAATTTTTGGCTTTTTACGAAAAGATGTGCAAAAAGTAGAGAGAAAAAGGAATCTTTGACTTCTTGGTATAAGTTATTGACTTTTTGACTTTTTTAGTAACTTTTTGGCTTTTAGGCTAAAACAGCCACTTAACTCTGAAAAGTCATGGTACGTTGTGGAAGTTAATTGAAGAAGGCAAGCAAATTTCCATAACTTAGCAAATGTTGGTTGATAATAATCCGCTGTGTCCTTTCTTTTTGTCATTATTTTACTCGTGATTAAATCAGGTGAACGTCATGTTTCCAAACACTAGAGTGAGGTCAACAGTTATACAAGACTGACTCTATTCTGCCCCCAACTTATAAGAGCCGCACACTATCCTTCTTTACGTTGGTGGCTTGTCATGGCAGTTAGTTAACCTGTTATTTAGTTATTGCTTACTATTTCTGGCAGTTTAATATAGGGTTAGCAATAATTATATGCTCATTTACTAGTTTGAAAACAATGTTCAGACAGTAGAAAGTTGTTTCTCCCTCTGGAAACTTTATATTAATTACAATAGGTTATAAATTTCCAAACCGCTCACCTCTTCCTAGTGAAGATTTTTCTTTTTTCTAATAAATTATACCCCTCTTCCTATTGAAGCTTTTACTTTAGATTGACACAGTACTTGCACAACTTTTTGTGTATGAAACTGATGGATTGTCGGTTATTTTCTGATGGTTTTGTCGTAGCTATTGTTTTCATGTAAATGTGTGTGATGCAGGCATATGCAAACGCGCGTGTATAGGTGATAAGGGGAGGAAAAAGGATTTACAAACGATAAGAAGTTATGAAAGTGCAATTATTTGACTAATGTATGTTTCTAATAATTTTTGCAGAAGCTGCTCAATCATGCAAAGTTATTCTGGACATTATTGAATCTTCATTGCCAGATGGCTTTCCTGAAAACTCTGGTACTGACTGTAAATTGCAGGAGACTCTGAACAAGGCAGTAGAGTTCCTTCCTGAATTATGGAAACTGGCTGATTCTCCTCGTGATGCAATCTTGTCATACCGGCGGGCCCTTCTTTATAATTGGAACCTTGAAGTGGAAACTACAGCAAAGATTCAAAAAGAGTTTGCCATTTATCTTTTGTACAGTGGAGGTGAAGCAGGCCCCCCAAACCTTCGTTCCCAAATGGACAGTTCATTTGTACCCAGAAACAATATAGAAGAGGCTATTCTTCTGCTCATGATTCTATTAAGAAAAGTTTCTCTCAGGAGAATTGATTGGGACCCATCAATTGTAGATCACCTTTCATTTGCTCTATCTATCTCAGGGGAACTAAGGGTATTAGCTAATCAAGTAGAAGAATTGCTTCCTGGAATTATGGATCGAAAAGAAACTTATCTCATGCTAGCTCTCTGTTATTATGGAGCCGGTGAGGACTTGACTGCTTTAAATTTGCTGACAAAATTGCTGAATAGTAGAGAGGATCCAAATCGTATTCCGGCTTTACTAATGGCTTCAAAGATTTGTGGGGAAAACCCCAAGTATGCAGAAGAGGGGATAAGTTTTGCCCGCAGAGCCCTTGAAAATTTGCAGGGCAGTTGTGATCAGATGGTAGGTGTTGCCAATTGTTTATTGGGAATCTCACTCTCAGCCCATTCTAGATCTGTTCTGTCTGATGCTGAGAAGGTCAAGAGACAATCTGAGGCACTTCAATCCCTGGAAAATGCTGGGAAAATGACAAGAATGAGAGACCCCAATATCATTTACCATCTCAGCCTGGAAAATGCTGAGCTGAGGAAGTTGGATGCTGCACTTTATTATGCTAAGCACTTGCTGAAATTGGAAGGTGGGTCTAATCTAAAATGGTGGGTACTGTTGGCTCGGGTGTTATCTGCACAAAAACGATTTTTGGATGCTGAAACTATCATAAACGCTGCTCTAGATCAAACTGGGAAATGGGATCAGGGAGAATTGTTGCGAACCAAAGCTAAACTCCAGATTGCTCAGGGCCAGTTGAAGAATGCCATTGAAACATACATTCAGCTTCTTGCCGTTCTTCAAATCCAGAATAAAAGCTTTGGATCTGGGAGGAAGCATTTGAAGGTATGTCCATTGGGAGTTTTTCCTTTCATTTGCTCAATTATAACTAGCTTTCCTGTCAACAGCACAATTATTTTGCTCATAATTGATCAGAAACATTAATCAGAATATTAAAGAATGGAATTTAATTATTTTTTTAGCATTTTTAACTCAGAAATCTGTGCCCTAAACATTAGTGTCAGCAATTCAATGTGATTGATATTTTGGGGAGGATTTTACCATTGCTTGTATTAATTTTGACAGGGAAATGGAAACCGTGATGGAACTTTGGAAGTGGAAACTTGGCATGATCTGGCTGGTGTCTACATAAGCTTGTCACAGTGGCATGACGCTGAGATTTGTCTTTCCAAATCCGATGCAATCTGTCATCACTCTGCTTCTAGATGGCACATCATTGGTACATTCAAATACTTCTTACCTCATATAAAATGTCTTTATACCATTTCCAGTTTTCAGGAAATTCTGGTAGTGAACTGTGATTAGTAGTTGAAAAACCAACTCAGAAATAATGTGATTTCAAACTTTGGGAGTTTTGCAGGTTTGCTTCATCAAGCAAAGGGCCTCTACAAAGAAGCTCTTAAAGCATTTAGGCAAGCTTTAGATGTTGATCCCACCCATGTCCCAAGTCTGGTCTCAATGGCTGTGGTTCTCAGACAACTTGGTGGCTATTCACCGGCTGTTGTCAGAAGCTTTCTGACAGAAGCATTACGGCTCGACAAAATGAATGCTTCTGCTTGGTATAACCTAGGCCTGCTTTACAAAGACGAGGGCCCTGCATCAGCAATGGCAGCAGCAGAGTGTTTTGAGGCCGCCAGCACTCTTGAAGAGACTGCCCCAGTTGAAAACTTTAGATGACCGGCTTTTATTTAGAAATCCTTTGTCTCTAACGCTCATTTACTTTGTGCTCAAATGAGCCCCCTTTCTCTCTCCCCCGCTGTCCCACATATGTTGTGATCACATATTTTGTTTTTTTGATGGAAAAGCAATAAAAATAAATGTCTCCTGCTTTGTCTTCTTACTTTTGTATCTTGTTTGTTGGCATACAAGGGAACATTAGGAAGGTAATGTGAAAACACGTTAAACCATAAGGAGTAAAAGGTAATTATTCCTTAAAAAAATAAACTAAATAAATAAAGGGAAGAGGTAATTGGGATCACTTTGGAAGGTGAAAATTTTGGGGGTGGTTTTGGGAACATCTAAACAAGTCACATTTTTTATCTGAACTTTGGTTTTTAGTGATTTTTTTTCAAAATTATGTCAAAAATACTAGACTAATCTAAAAAGTCAAAAAAAGTTAACTGTTTTCGCCTTTTTATTTTTTTGTCTTTTCTAGACCCTTTTTTTTTCATGCAAACACCAAACACCCACGTAAAGAAGATCAAGATTTCGTGACCTGCTGTTAGAACTTATACCAATCCCAAAGCTTGATCTACATAAAACTCAATAATTGTATTGGCATCTAAATGATCCATCAGTCGAAAATATAACCACAAATGAAATGAGAAGGTTGAAATTAGAAATTGTGTTATATTATGCAACTAGGTAGACTTGTTCAAATGCTTCCAAGAATGAATCTTACAAATTTCAAATGTTAGATGATTACATCGTAAAAGTTCCTTTTCGTGGGATGTACAAATACACCCAAACTTCTACTTTATACTAAAAAGAGACCTTTAACAATTTCGGCAACCTGCAATTTTTGCAAAACGCCACCGGCTTACATGTAGAGTGAATACTTCAAAGCACATCATCGCCATTTACTTTCAGAAGTGAGGATCTTTACACTGCAATACAGCATTCAAGTTATGCATGTCAGAAATTAAAAAAAAGAAAAAATATAATAATCAAAACACCTCTACCATAAAGCATATAATATAAGGATAATGAGAAGCTATATGTGTACATTCGTCACATGTGCCTCCAATTGGCACTATGCAGCATGTCTGCAACTATGGAAACAAAATGGTGGTGAGATGCCAGCTCTTGAAGAAACATCTGAAGAGTCCTGAGAAAGCAGAAATAAAGAAGGATTGGTCCCAATCAAAAACACATGTAAACCAATGAATTCTGGGAAAGGTTCCATAACATGGTTTTTAAAAATAGGTAGTTGAATCCCAACTTTTGAAAACAATACATAGTCTATGAGCTCACTGGCCAAAATGGATACACCCTCTTGTATTTCTTACTAGGTCTGCTACTTCAATCTGTCATTTTCCTTCAATTGAGAAATACATAGAGCATTCTAAAGGACATGATGGCAAATTCCATCCACACGCAGTTTTTCAAAATCTTTCCCCATAACTTTGATTGTTCCAAAAGTTGATAGAATGATCACGTTCAGCTATCATCTTCCTATACTTCACAAATAAACAGACAACTAGCCTCTACTACATTTACAAGTTTCTTTAACTTCTTTCTTTCCCCGACACTCCAGAAGAGTATGAAATTTTTCCAAAATGCCTTCAAGAAAAAACCTCCCTCTCTTTTTTTGTGGTTATTTTTCAATAAGAGAACCTTCGATCACTCAAAAATCTAGTTTAAAGCACACACAATATAGCCAGCAGAACAAAAGGCACCTCGTATTTTATAAGTAATGCAAGAGGAGATCAGCTGAAGAATTCCTCAATCTACAGCTCTGCCCAAGGTGAACATCTCCAAAAACGTATCTGTACATCATGCAATAAGGGAAACTGATGACCACAATATTCGAAAGAATAATTAAAAAACATGTAAGAAAAATACCTATATTCACAATGCTCAGACCATGCACAGCGAGCTTTTCCATAATCCCAATAATAGTCATCTTCCCTCAAAGGTCCACGCTTAGTCGTTCCATGTAAAATTTAAGAGGTAAAACAATTTAATGAAACAAAAAGAACTAAGAAAGAAGAGATCCACCTTTTGTAACAAATTTTGATTTTGAATCAGGATAGTTATCATGCCACATCTCAAGCCACAATTCCCGCATTAGAACTGGAGATCTAACAATGTGCCTGTGATTTGCTACATGAAAGCAATTCCAACTAATTTTAAAGTGCCGTTATGATTGATAAAGAGAAGAAACAAACTAGAGTAAGAAAAGAACTAGATCTATCTATATGGGTCTTAGTTCTTTCCTAATGTTTAAAATTGTGAGGAAACTATAATACGGTCAAATGTTTGTGGGCTGTGGTATAATCTGTAATGCTATTACTCAGATGAAAGGAAGACAGAGAAGCTTTTACAACATTTTTTTCACTATGCTAAGAGAATATCAGCATAAATTGTACTTCATGTTCTTGTGGAATTTAAGCGAGCTAACGTTATTTCAGCAAAGATTATTTCATATTTTTTTTGTTGAATATGACCTTAAAATGCAAAACTTGCTTTCCACAACCCGTGACCTTGAGATGTAGCCATAATTTTTTCTTACTATTTTACTACCCTTGGAGCACAAACCAAAAACTCATTTATTTGGCTATAAGGTTCATTCATCCTGTTTAAGGGAAATGATACATACAATACATGTGAACAGATAAATATGCGTGAAGTGTATAATTGATTGCTAGATACATTTACTTTCTATTAACAAATAACATATTAGATATTAGATAAAATAAAACAATGAAAAGTCTAATATTGCAAACCCAGACATTTTATAACAGAGAATTTTCACTCATTCTCAGCAAAGCATTTCCTTTAAGCCAAGTGTAAGTATTTACTGAGCCTGAAATCCTTTGAAGCCACTGTTGTCCAAAATTGCATACAACAGTTAACGTGATTTGTAAGACATTTTACATACCCTTGTCAAGCTCCCAAACTGCTGTTCTCTTTCCAGGAAGACTGTCAGAGTCTTCATAATAGGTTATGTACTTTATAGTTAACCCAATTGAGCAGTAAGAGACAATTATAAATCTTACGGCCATAAAAAAGTAAAGTTGCAGTCCTTCAGCAGGCCTATTAGCTTATTTCTCATGTTCTCAATGATCCAGGAGTGGTTACTATGTTTTATAGTTTAAGGTCCCAAACTATGAGATATGCTTTCTAGATAGGGCGGAGTGAAGCAGGAGGGTAAGAGAAAATGAAAATGAGCAGAGATGGTTCTAAAACAGCATGTCAAGTTTAAAAAATGAGCATACTAATAAACTAAAGTCAGTTGAAAAATGATCATTCTCCAAAGAGTGACAAAATAAACAATTTATTTTCAAATTACATGAAGCACAAACAAACAATTTACCAAAACAAGTCCAATTATGTTTGTAGGTTGCTCATAGTAGACTGGCACTCTTCTATGCCCTTTCTCCAAAATTAAATTCATCAGCTCCCTATTAGATATCAAGCATCATCATATATATGATCAAAACAAAGTTAAAAAAGACTTCAAGTAAACCTTCTATTCAAAAGTTTTCCAAAGCATGCAACACCTGTCAAGCTTGGCATTGATATCAACAGCAAAAGTGTCAGATATGGGAGTCATGGCATCACTGGCTGTTTTCTCAGTAAGCCCAAGTGCTCCAGCAATAATTGTTGTCTCATCATGTGTGAGTTCTCCACGTTTTCCAGCCTGTTTACAGGTAATCAGAAGACTATCAAGTCACAAGATAAAACAGAAGGAAAAAGAAGCTCTTTGCAATGGAGTTTGAAGTGAAAAATAAAAATGGGATAACATTAACTTCGGGAGACGTTTTTATAGACGAGAAAATTAAAATTCCTGCAAGCAGCACATTTTGTAGGAAAAAGGGAGGAGTATTGGATGGATGTTTTAAGGATTCCTCAATTGGAGACCTTTTTTTTCTTTTATGTGTTGCAGAACAGATGGGCAGACACATTCCCACCTTAATTGCCCATGTAGCAAATTGCAGGGATAAGAAATCAGTTTTAAGTAGGTACAATCGGGCACGAATACCCTAATAAATCATAAATTGCACTGCAAATTCAAACAGTTGTCCACCTGTTCCAAAATTTATTGCTCTCTTCTAAAGAAATGTTACCTAAGATAAATCCCTCACCTCTCCAAACAGAAGTATCAATGTAACTGAAATCGGGATGGCACCCCAAGCAGTAACCAGACTATCCAGAAATATGGGAAGTGTCTGACAAAAAGAACATCTAAAAACATCAAGTACTTCACGATACATGTTATTAAAAATAGCTTGTTTCAACATG